CCTGAAAATATTGTGTTGAACACATCTTGGGTTTTCATCAGTGTTCCTGTCGGAGGTGTGAAAGAACGAAGAAAGCCATACACGATGAACCGCCCCATATTCAGCAGTATCAAAAAACTGCGGACCAGAGTGATGATGAAGACGAAGAACAGGAACATTATGATGAAGATAAGGGTAATCAACTATCGGAGGATGTGGTATTTCACCACCTTAAACGGTTTTCCCACCTTCAAGACCGTAGAGGACAATATATGTATATATAACGACCAGTATAAAGTATAAACTCAGTATTTAAATGGCGATATAGTGAACTGAAAAATTGCTACAATTACCTACCTAATCCATATGTATTGACAAGTTGGAAGGCTGAAAACCACACTCCACTGATGGAATTGATGCGATGGATGGTGAAAAAGGAAAAGAGGCTGACGGAATTGTCCTAACATCTTTAAAATTTGTCGAAGCGGGCGTCAGACAAGTCTTAGATGAGGCGGTGATTGAAAGGGACGCAATGTATGGAATAATAAGATATTGACAAAATGAAAAGTCTAACAACCCAAACAATTGCTAGACTCTTCTTGAAGCTTGGAAATGATGACTTGTTTGCTGAAAATAACCCTGTAGTCCCCCAATGTGAAAACGTGAAAGGCGACGATGAACATGTTTATGATTAACAAAGATCTATGAGCGAGCGAGCGAGGGAGGGAGGTAGTGAGGGAGGGAGGGAGGGAGAAGCGAATCTGAGGTCACTGAACCAAGGTGTTCGATCGTGTGTAATAAAGGGGATAGCTTTCCGAAGGCTCTGAGAGGGGATTGTTTGAACTCTGAGGTTGCAGTGCAGATTGCCCTCCAGACGCATGTGCATATGGTGCTCATGTCTGGAAGTCAGCTGCTGGGGCAATATCTTGCCAAGATCCCTGGACAAATTTCAGATGCATCACCATGCTACACCTCTTGTTGCCTCTCAGGCTTGAACACAAGCCCCAAGCTTTCAGCACTGGCGCCTACTTCCCAGATCTGCAAAATCCGCAACAAACATTGCATCACGTGTTGTTTTTCAGTTTTCGCGATATTCCTTCGGATCAGGCCCTCTTGATCATTTCAACATGTTTCAACAATGTGGAACAGTATTTCAGATATCTCCGTGCCTCTTCAAAGGTCAGGATCCAACCTAAACATCCCAAAAATCGACTTGATCAAGGAAACTAATCGCTTCCAACCTAGAAGCCTCCAACCTAATAGCGATGGCCTTCATCCTAGTAGCGATGGCCTCCAACCTACAAGCGATGGCCTCCATACTACGTAGATCTTGACCATGCTTCGAATTGGCCGTGCCTCGTCGTCCACCAAACCACCGCCACAGACGGTCCAGGATTGTGCAGTGCTTGTGCGACTTGATCGTCCAGCGGCACGAGGATGGCCACGATCATGGGATCATCATGCTGCCTGTGGGCGACCTTGGCGCACCGGTGTGCTGGGGGATGCCGAGTTGTTCTAGGTCCAACCCCCCTCTTTGTCTATGAATGCTCCAAAAAGACAGAAGCAATGCCCAATTCATTTAGGGGTTGGAACTCCCCAGACGTCTGACCAAATCGTCCTATGCATAGCGGGGAGAAATAGCACATAATAGCCACGTGTTTGTTTGATATTTTTTTCAGTTCACGTCAGTTCTATCTCAGTGCTATCAGACCTTTGGGAAGGAGGTCTTTCAGCTTTTTGCTTGTCAGACCTTTCATGAGAACAACCCCCAACGGGGCGGGACGTTTGCTGGCACCACCCCCTTATCGTCGGCTTCAGTCGGACGCACTTCCCCCCAAAAGTCGCACGTTCTTGTTTGTATCCCTCTAGCTTCTTGTTACTACTAGTAAGGCACTTGTTACTACTAGCGATGCACTTGTTTCTACTAGCTTTTTGTTACTACCATTTGTATCCCTTTACAAGCAAGAACTGCACTGGAGCTTGCCAACGGCCGTCTCGAACGACCGGATGCCATCAAAGACATGTTTTATGGCGGTGTGCGGGAGGTGACCGCTAGCGGCCCAGGCCACAGACAGCGAGAAAGTCAAAGAAAGTGGGTAAAGTGGGGGAGGTTCTTGAAACCCATCAGCTCACACAAAACCAAAGCTGCCCAAGCTGCCCATGCCGAGAGGTTGGCTAAAACCGCCATTTGCCTTGTACGTGAAAGTCGCTCAAAAAGATCAAAAAGAACACGCCCCAGGCGAGGCGTTTCTTGAACCCCTCGGAAACCAAACTCAGTGAATTTAGGCTTCGTGAATGACATCCTGGAGCTCCGGGTGCTTTTTTCGGAACTCATGGAGGTGATGGCCCGGAATCACTATGAGCAAACCTGGGAGCCTCGGTCTTTCGACTTCTGTCAACGCAGGATGCATTTTCCAAGTTGCAGGCGTTTCTGTGGTGTGGGACCAATTAAGCAGCTTTCAGAAGCCTTTCCATGACTTTAGTCGATCTATCTCGTCGTAGAAAGAACACAGGAGAAAAGGAGACCGATGATTTCAGAAAGGTTTTCTCACATAGATGGTGTGGGCCGCCGAGTCATTCCTGCTTTGAACCGCGGTTGCTTTTGAACTATCAGGGCTTTCCTGTGCTTTTGATCATGGAAGGTATGAAAGGAGTGTGTTGAGCGTTGCCTTTAAGCGGTGTCCTTCCACAATTAAAAAACACATAAAAACACAACAACTCAGAGAAGACTGGTCAAACAAGTCCTCATCTGCTTCGGACCGCTGGCATGCTTGGGGGAGTCGGGCCGGGCTCATCTGGATGAGCTGTTCGCCATGCGACCTCGATGTTTTGAAGTTCAATGGTGGCATGGGAGAAGGGGTGCTTTCAGTCTCCACACATCGAGTCTACTTTTGGGGTGAGAAGCAGAAGCAGAAACAGGCAGAAAGATAAGACCTGAGATGCTTGAATTCTGTGTTGTGGGGTGTGCTCCGGGTATTCCCCCCCTCTGCAGAAGCCCCCATAGAAGGACATAATAGTAGCGCAGCCCACAAGATGCTACCACTGAGATGCTATGGTCGGCTACCGGATCGCTTCTAAGGATTCCATTCCCAGCATCGCTTCCAAGCTGAAGCCCAGCACGCAAGCCTTGTTTGAAGTGATTCCAAGAGATGTGCAGTATGAAATGTGCTTTGGTGGTCGCGAAAGGCACATGAACAAGGTGGGCGGTGGATGGTGCAGCGGGCAGATGTTGGAAAGGTCGTGATTATGGATCTGCAGAAAAACACTACACCCATCCACGCCCTCACTCTGTAGCTTCCATTCTAGAATGTTGTTCATTCCGAATAAGTTCCGTTCACTTCTGTTTTTGGGTGTCATTTCGTTGTTTCACCTTGGAATGTCCGCCGTTCAGTTCTCGATCCCCCCCTTTCTTCCTCCTTCCAGGCGTCCATCGACTCGACCGCAGGTGGACTTCTCCACCATTTCCACCGATCGACTCTTGCTGCGCTTCGTGGAGATCGAGCTGTTTTTTTTTTTTTTGGGGGGCGTCATCAAGGGGGGGCGGGGGGGGGGGGGGGGGGGGGGGGAGCGGAAAGAGGTGAGATGAGCCCGGCTGGACGAACTCAAAGGATGAAAACCAGCGGGGGGGGGTTGGGTGGAAGATGGTGGAAGTGTGTGCCAGGATTTCTTCAATGGAACCTGCTATCCAATGACATACCAGGCACGTTCGGCGATCCCCACCAACTTTGACTGCGATTTGGCTTATACTCTGGGCTGGTCAGCCGGCATCATGATCAACCTTGAAAAGGCCGGTCTCTTGGTGCACGCCACTCGCCTGGAAAAAGAGGTCAATGAATGGCGATTGCGAGGCCTTCCATTGACCTGTTTGCTGCGCACCGAGTACGATGAGGAGAGTCAGGAAAACCGGATCCTTCCGGCTTATGTGCATTTGCTGAAGCAGCGAACTGTGAAGAGGCCCTTTACAGATCTTCCCCCTCCCAAGGACCGGGTCATCCAGACGCTGGGGCCGATCCAGTTCTCTGGAGGCCTAGCAGCATCTTCAAGGACTACCTGGTACATGCTGAATCAGCCTCTACAGGATCCAACGGATTCCTTGCGTGAGACGGCCTACCTCTGCGGTGAGTTGCAGTCGACCATGGCCGTAGCCAAAGCCGAGTCGACACTCTACGCAGTGAATAGCTTGCTGCAAAACGCCGTCTCGGTACTGGAGGCATTCAAACAATTGCACGACTCCAAGAAGAAACACACGCAGTCCTTAGCAGAAGCTTTGTGGGAATTAGACTTTGAAGCAGTCAATTGCTTTTGTGTTTTTCCTCATGCTTTTGTTTATCTCAGTCTTAGTGTTGATGAATCTGATCATTTTGAGAGGCGCACCAAGAAAACCTGGACGTTTGATATTTCATGATCTTTCTTTTTGTTTTGATTCCCAGGATGTGCCGGTGGAGCACCTGGCGAAGGTGTGGACCACCAAGCATCATGATCGCCCCAATGACGAGAGTCACCACTCCACGCGGCATGAAGCGCTTCATCGATCCAGCGATGTGGTTCTGGCCTAGCGGGCGCGATCCACGCGCCAGACAGACACGAAGCGTGTGCTGTGAAACGACCAAAGGTGGAGCATGTTTCGCTCACCTGAGTGGCAGAAGAGCGAACAGATAGCACTCAGGTGAGAGTCTTCAAATGTAGATCTGTGTGACCAAAAGAAGTCTGAATTCAGAAGAGAATATATAGAGTTTGAAGCAAAAAGTGACAGCGACCGGCGTGTTTCAAATATGCATGGATTCATTAATCTTATACCGGGCCTGCAGTATCTACTGCATTCATAGGGGTGTGGATGAACATTGGGATCCAGGAACACCTTGGGCCAGGAGAAAGAGCCAGAATTGTTGGGGTCAATCCTAAAGGTCTTAAAGAAGTCTAGGAATGCTTCATTCTGAGACTCAATGCAGGGCTTGCAGGCTTTGTCATACCAGAGCGTTTGGAGCTTCCAAGAGTGGAGAGGCAAACCTTGTAGCCTGCAGGCCTCTCATCTCTACCTCTTCAAGCACTACGTCTTCCACAGCAGACAGTGAGCTCGATTGTTTTGAACTGGTGGGCTCTTGTACAAAAACCATTATGCAGATACGATACGGATGGTCAGAACGTCCGATGACTTTTTGGATCTTTTGGGATGGTTTTGGTACTTGCCGACAATGTCATGCCCTTTTGGGGGCACAGAAAGTCCTGACCATCTACCATGCTTTGTGGACAGCAGCTGCGGTGGAAAGCTCAAAGAAGCTTAGCTTCATGAGTCCCCACAGCCGGCCACGAGTTAAAAGCGATGGCCTCCAATAGAATATCAGCTCCTTCCATCATCTTGCTGAGCAGAGGTGCACATGTGGTCGCACATGTGGTCCATGTAATCAAGCAGTGCTGACCCCTTCTCGGCACCTCTTTTGGTGTACCTGGAGTCTAGAGATCTTGGAGGGTGTTATTTTTACCCATTCTAACATGCCAACCTGATCCAACTTGGATCCCCTTTGGTTGGCTTTGGCGTGGTGCTCGCTTTGGGCTCGGGATTCACCCAGCCCAGGCTCAAAGATGAGATCTCCAGGACCGGCGGTCGTTTTTGGGTCCAATGCTTTGGAGTCCTTTTCTTTTTTGCAGATCTCAGTTGGATGAATTGGCCATGTTCATGAACGTTGATTATTTTGGTCTATTTTGTTTTGAGCGCATTTGCAATTCATGGCTTGTGATTTACAAAGGACCTCGTGTACCGAGTTGTTCCAAGTGGTGGTTTTGCCAGAGTTTTTCTGAACGACATGGTCCCGAGTAAATATACAATATCATGCGTGAGCTCGGGTGTGATTTCACCATTTAGTCAGAGCTTGATGACAGCTCAATTATGCTACCATATATATACATAGAAAGACAAGCTTGAGAAGGGCTGCACCTGTTGCGACAGCGCAAACGCTTGCCTGAATCAAGAAGAGCACTCCTGAAGGGAGTCAGATACACCCAACCACCTAGAAGGCCGCCATAAGATTTGAAGAGTTTGAGGTGGGTTTTCCTCAAGCCTTGGCACCTGGAAAACAACACCAATGCTCCAAAAACCCTTTTCTTCACAGATCAGTCGACCTCTCGTGTTGTTTTCTGTCGACCTCCATCCTCAGGCGGCGTCAAGCTCCATCCCGCGTGCGGCTTCGCGGGCAGTGTCTCGAGTAGTCGAAGCGGGTGCTCCAGGATCCAGCAATCCGTTTCGGCCGTCTCCAAGGACTTTGAGGACGAAGCTGGAAGCTTTTGGGCCGAGGGACATCCCGAAAGTGACAGAACCTTTAGAGTTTAGAGTCTTTTAGAGCAAACTGCTGTTGCTTGCGAAGCTGTAGTGTGGAGCCCGCTATAAGAAGAATAACTTTAGAGAGATTGCTCTATGCATTTTCATTTTCCGAGTAACATGGAGACTCAACTCAACCTGCTGACAAACCTTTAAAAAAACGTATGGAGTTTCCTGGTCATTTGCATTCTGTTGTCGCTGATTTGGGGCAGAACCTCCGCAAATGCAAGCTGCACTTTTTGAAAGATCCAGATTACATATAAATTTGGCTTCAACCCCGCAAAGAGAAAACATGTAGCATCATGTAGCTTACATGTTGTTTCCCAATCATCAAAGTCTTTGCGTTCTCTGGGGAGTATGGTCGCACATGCGCAATGAAGGAATGCAACATGTAGCTTACATTTTGGGAAGTCGCCGCTCGCAAAAAGGGACTCTTTTAGTGCCTGGTGGTGTTGGTTGCCCTGAGTCAAGGGAACGCTGCGCCATGTTGGAAATGTGTTCAATGTACATTGCCGTCAAAACTCAAGAGGTACTTTGGCCACATCAAGGGCCTTTGCAATTGGCACTTTTCATGCAGGCTTTGCTCAGTAGCGTTTCATCAGGAAACGAGAAGTGGTAAACATCAGTAAAGCCCAGCTAGTCAATGTTGAGTAGGGAGAGACCAGGATGTTGAGCAAGGATGAGTTAACACTACTGAGCAAAGATCTACAGATGTTTGGGAATCAATGTTTACGAAACATGCCAGTGACATGCGCTGTATACAATTTGTATAATATTTGTATACTATATAGTACAATACATCCTCCTGTCCATATCCTCTAGAGAATGGCAGGGGATAACCGGATAACCCCTCTCATAAAAGGTTTTATGACCTCAACCTACCCCCTGGAGGAGGTCAGGGGGGTCAATTTAGAGAGAAAACTGTATGTACAGAGCCTCATGATAGAAAAAGACTGGACCGGGGATTTCAAAAGACTGGACCGGGCTGACCGTTGGGCCAAACAAGTGGCTGTGGGTTCGCATGCCTGGCTGAAGAGCGCAGAAAAAGACGCTGTTGAAGCTTCAAACTGGTGTGGAAATGACGTTGGGTAGGGTCAATTTATATAAACATGGTTTTCATTCTATACACCTGACAGGGTCCTGTCTGACCATTTTATCTCTAGAAAACGGGTGGTGGGACCCCCTGTCTGGAACGGACAGGGGGATTAAAATACTATATTAATAGATACTCTCAGAATAGCAATTTCTGGCCAACGATGTCATCTCTGAGTGGCATTCGCCTTTTCCATGCGTCGATCTAAAAGATCAGACCCCCGGTCCCACGTGCCAACCTTTTTTTTTCTCCAACAAAGAACATGGAATCGTAGCTGTAGACCCAACAGATCCTGTTTTACTTCAAGCAGCTGTACGGTCTTGCCGGTACCCTGTCTAACAGATCCTAAAAGCATCTAAAAGCGATAGAGCTTCGCCTCCAACCCATGGTTTGCTTCGGCTGCCGGGCCGAAGATGAGAGGAACACAAGCGTGCGTCCACCGCGATCCACAACAAGCTTCAAGCGCAGGCAAGGATTCCCAGTCAAGACAAGCCTGCATGGCCTACCTGGAAGGTCAAGCTACGGTGTTGGGGCTCCAGGTTCTGACCCATAGCCACATGGGTTTAGGCTTACACTTCGGTGCCCATCAACCCAAAGGTATTCGTCACCTGTCCTCTGTCTTTGGGTCTATTTGCGAATTCAACGGGTAGTCCTTCTGTCGTTTCTGAAAGTAGAAGCCATTGGACGATTGCTTTTGAATCTTGTTTGTCATCTCAAGGAAAGGAAGTCACCCAACGAACAGATGCATGCTCCAACCGCAAGAATAGCCGCACCAAGACAGACGTACCAGGTTCTCTTGTGAGCCTTCCACAGGAGCTCCTCAAAATGTCTTTAAGTAGCGATGGTTTCCATCCTTTTGGTAGGACTCGCGCGATCCTCATCACATCTACAGACCAGAGACAATATAAATCGCTACAGTGAAACCGCTTCTCTCCCTTCCAGAAGTTCTGTTTCACCCCACTCAAGTGAGGTGTGGACGGTGGAAGAAGCTCGCAAGGAGCGGCAGTGCCCTCCCATGCAGCGGCTGTGTCCTCCGCACTGTGTGTTGCCATCTGGTGGTTTGCTGTGCGAAAAGAAACTGATTTGTGGTTGATTGCTACTGATCCTGGTTCAACTGTTTTCTCTGTTTTAATGTGTTTCTGTCACAGTTCGGTGCCTTCATGGACCACATCCCACTGTCGCTCGCTCGCTCGCTCAGTTAGTTTAGTTCTTGGTTCCCTGTGCTTCGGGTGCTTAAGTCACGATCCCTTGCACCACGGCGTGTGCCGCCAGGAGCCTCAAGGATCACCGTCACACGTCTCTCAGAAGTCCTACCAGCCGATGGCCGTCACCATGACGGCCAGGGTGGTCAGGGCTGGGTGAAGGAAGACGGGCCAGGAAGGATTTGGACATCTCAAGAGGGAATTTTCCGAGATAAGTTTGAAAGTTTGTCATTAGACCAGGTCCATCTCTTGATCTTCTTGATTTTTCTTGCAGGAAAAGCCACGTGAAGAGATGGCGTGGATGCCTTTTCTTCATTCTCCCAAAGCAATTTGACAGTGAACGAGCTGTAGAGACTTCAGGCATTCCTGACCCTACAGACTGGAGGTGGACACCCAAGTATCTCATAGTATCTCTTTCCAGTTCATTGGAGAATACGATTGGTAGGGGCTCCTGGCCTTACTACTAGGAGCAAGGACGCTTGACGCATCTTGAAGCTCACCGTGGGTCCCACGCCATCAGCCCACCGTCCATCCAGGCCTCGCAAGGGTCCCTCTATCCGGGCACGGGGTGCGGGCAGCACAGTCGGGCCGTGGAACCGGTGGGTCGTGGGTCGTGGGTAGAAGCTACCAGAAATGTAGCTGGTTACTACGTAGTAGCTTCTTGTTACTAAGTAGAATTGCACTTATAGTTACTATAGCGAATGGTTTGGAGACCGAGGATCGCCCACGGACTTTTTGGTCCAGCGAAGATGTTCGACCCACCTTTGACTAAATTCTTCTGCCAAGCCGGTCTTGCGGATGTGACGTCTTCTTCCTGAAGGGAGAACATATAAGAAAAGCATCACACAAGCCAAGCCAGTCAGAATCTCATGTGTTTCAGGGGCTTTTCTATTCCCACTTTCGAAGGCCAGGGACCAGCATCAGTCCCCTTTGGCTCTCTGTAGATCGGGGATCGTTCACAGCGAATCGCTTCAGGTCCGTGCAGGTGCCACAGCCGATGCTGCACAGCGCCTCTCCACGCAGGCGCCACGGGCTCCGAGGGATGGGAACGACACCAGCGGATTCAGGAGGATTTGAGCGGAGTTGAAGCTGTTACACCTGCCTGTCCTGCGTGTGAAAGCCTGAAGCTGTTACAGGATATGCTGCGATCAGGTGATAAGAATCATTGGACAGATATGCTGCACCTGTTGTTTGTTCTGTTCATTGTGAATGGAAGAAGTTCCGCAACATGAAGTCCTTCACAAGCCACACAGATGACAAATGTTCTCCTCCTGTAAGATTTCAAGCACATGATCTACCAGCAAATGTACTGTCAGATGCACCGAGCATCAGGTCAGGGTCATCATGGCTTATTTGAAGCTTTCAGCTTTGGACCCCTCGACCGGATCTGTCGGCTGGTATTGAGAAATTTAATTACTGTAACATCACAAGCGATGGCCTCCACCCTAGTAGCGATGCCTCCAACCTAATAGTGTCCTTGCCCCTAGTAGCGATGCCAGGAGCCCCTAGTAGCTTCTTGCTCCTAGTAGTAAGGCCCCTAATAGCGTCCTTGCTCCTAGTAGCGATGGCCTCCAACCTACAAG